ATTAACCATTATTGTTCCAATGTTATGTAAAGTTATTAATATGCTAGGTGGGGTTGCGGTTACAATTTTTTTGCTAATTTTTATTCATGGTTATATGTTATTGTGTGTGATATAGTAGAATGAATATTGAGGTAAATGATTCCTAATGACGATGGTATCAGTATTATTTATTGTTTTAAGATTATGTTGCGTTTTAAGATTATGTTCATAGGATAAATTAACATTTTTGTACAAAAATGCATTAATTAAATAATAAAATTAATTAAATTTACCCGGTGCATTCACCATTTTTGCAAAAAATATTACCAACTATTTTGAAAAAAATACTGTTTAGTAGACTGGGCCAAAAAAATTGACTATTTTTTTTTTTTGAAAACTATATCGAGAATGTCATTCAGAATGACAAATAAAAAATTTCGTGAAAATTTGAGCCCTTAATATTAATTTTAAGAGGTCTATCATCGCTATTTTTGATTTTTAGTCATAATTTGATGTTTTACGTTAGAACTGTCAAAACATTAAAGTGAAAAAAATTCCTTTTCACTTATTTTTATATAAAATTAAATTCTCTACAAAAAAGGTCTGATTGAAAATTTTCGTCAGACGAGCCGTTTCCGAGTAATTGAGCGTAATAAATCGATGTGTTTTTTCGATTTGCCCTTTTTACTTTGAAATTTTGTAACTAATGAATCAATGAATATTTTAAAAAGCTCACGTCGGATTCTTAAAGGAAATTTAATGTTCTACAAAAAAGGTCTCTTAACATTTTTGCCTAAATTTAATTCTTCAAAGGTTATTCACGATTAAAATCGAAGAAAAACTTAAAATTTGAATTTTTTCTTCGTGAATAACTTTTGAAGAATTAAATTTAGGCAAAAATGTTAGGAGACCTTTTTTGTAGAACATTAAATTTCCTTTAAGAATCCGACGTGAGCTTTTTAAAATATTCATTGATTCATTAGTTACAAAATTTCAAAGTAAAAAGGGCAAATCGAAAAAACACATCGATTTATTAGGCTCAATTACTCGGAAACGGCTCGTCTCTCGAAAATTTTCAATCAGACCTTTTTTGTAGAGAATTTAATTTTATATAAAAATAAGTGACAAGGAATTTTTTTCAGTTTAATGTTTTGACAGTTCTAACGTAAAACATCAAATTATGACTAAAAATCAAAAATAGCGATGATAGACCTCTTAAAATTAATATTAAGGGCTCAAATTTTCACGAAATATTTTTTTTGTCATTCTGAATGACATTCTCGATATATTTTTCAAAAAAAAAATTAGTCAATTTTTTTGGCCCAGTCTACTGTTTAGTATAAACATAAATTTACCAAGTAAATTTTCCAAAACCACATATTTTTGATTTCAGATTTTAAGCTTACTGGCTATCATAGCTGCAGCAAAAGCCAGCGGATATGGATTACTTGGTGGACTGGGTGGAATCGGTGGAATAGGGGGTTTAGGGGGATCCGGATTGGGGGGATACTACGGAAATAGCTTATATGGAAATGGTTACAGACCCAGGTAAGTTTCTATTATACATCCCTGAACAAAGTAATGTTTATATCTTAAAAATTATAAACATAATGTTCTCTACAATAAAAAATATTTTTATCTAGTTATTCCGGTTATCGCCCCTACTATAGCGGTTACGACAGGCCGCATACGACCGGTTACGATGACGTTTACAGACCCGGAAGTTACGGTGGTTACAGACCAAACTATGTACCTGGTGTTACAGGCTTTGGAGGTATTGGAGGTATAGGTGGTTATGCTGGAGGTTACCCTGGATACGGTGGTACCTATGGAGGGGGATATGGGGGTAACGGGGGGTCGTATGGGGGTTATGGGGGATACGGAAGTGGTGGATATGATTACGATACCAAATACAGACCAGGTAATTTTCTTAAGAATAAAGAGACAACTTTTATAATCAAAACTGTTTTTTATTATGCAAACTTAGGATACAACGGCTACAGACCATACAATCCAAACTCTTACAGACCTGGATACGACAGATACGACCCCGACTACAACAGGGGCTATCCAGGCACAAATTTCGTAGGGTACAGACCTGGATCTACCGGTTACTCCGGATACAATGGATACAGATCCAGTAGTACCACCTCATCATACAACAAATAAAAAAAAACATATTTTATATAACTGTGTTCAAGAATACTCCACTCCACTGAATATTTTTTTATGTTTATGTATATAAAACAGTTCGTATTTGTTTTATTTATATTTGTATATGTAATGTAATAAAGACTAACCATGTAAATAGTTTTAGATTATTTTTTTTTTAATAAATTGTTTTAATAAAAATTTTTTTGTTAATAACCTTTTTAATGTCATTTATAGGAAATGCTTAATGATTATTCAAATTAAAAATTATTGGAGCGAAACCAAAAATGGCCAAAAATATATAAATCATCTTAATTAATAACAAAAAATTGTTACAATGTAAAAACCAATTATACACTGTAGTATACAGGTAAGTAAATACAATTATAAAAATAACAACACTTTTTTTAAATAATTGCTATTTACATATTTATATAGATGGTATACAACTAACGATATATCGTATTAGTAAGACAAAAGATAAGTAAAAGTGATCGTGTTTGAAGAAAGTATGTCACCACCTACGATTTGCGAATATTTTTGGCAAAATCAACATCCCACAATAATTTTTTTGGGATTTCTTCAAATAAAAGACATTGCGTAATGCTAAACGACCTAGGCAATTATATAACAACATGGCATTGATAAACACTTCGAAAACAATCTACTTATTAAATAGCCGTTTACGATAATTTACTTACTTTACTTACTTTACTTAAATTATTACACTATACTCTCTAAAAATGAATTAGGCAAAAATGACTAGTTACTACAGTGGGAACCATGGTATCCCCAATATTTAACATCCAATTCTTATGTAAAATTGTCCCCTAAATCCGAAAATACCATCAAAAATTATGAAAGTAGATTAGTTTTTGAGATATAGTCAATTCCATATTACATGAAAAAATTTGGGATTCAGGAGAAAATTCTAATGTTCGGGATACAAATTGCTATTGACGAGAATCAGTGGCTGCTTTTTTGCTATGACAATTTGTCATTTTGGACTAATTCATTTTTAGAGAGTAGTTAATTTATTTTTTTTTACTTTTTTCCCTAGATGAACGTCCCATTTTAGTGGAAATACCACGTTGCTTTGACAAGGCTTTGTTTGTAACGTAAACCAAAAACGTTATTTTCTAAGATTTGCACAAAACTCGTTAAAAGAATCAATTTGACTAGTTCAAGAAAAAAAATAGATATTACCATTGAAATATAGTTAGGTACTTAGTTAAATTTCTGTTTATTGGATTTTACTCGAGAAATTTCTCTAAATACTGCTTGTGTTTTTGAAAATGAATTAGATAATTTTCATTGAAGCTTGGAACTCGTGGAATTATAAACAACAGCGCTTTCATGAAAATTATCAGAATTTTCATGAAAATTTAACGCATGAACAATATGAATGAAGTAACTATCGTGAAATAAATAGTAACTGTTATGAAATAGAAAGTGTCAACAAATAGACGTTTTTCAATGATCTTGTCTATAGTATACTAGGTGCAATGTGGTACACAAAAAGACACTTCCTAGCCGAATGTTTTATCTTCACAATTTTATTTGTTAAACAATATTAAAAAAATAATGTCAGGTTATGTAGAATTTTCTGATTGGTTTAAACGGTTTTTTTACCGATTGGTCTAAATTATTTTTTCAGTTTATCTGATTTATCAATCAATTAGTAGTGTTGACAATAATAAAGTTTAAAATTTAAAACTCTTGAAGAAAATAAATATTATAGTATATACCAAATAAGTATCATATAGCATAGTAAATAGTTCCTACTATTATTCACGCCTAGTTGGTTAAGACCATCATGATGATTAATTTATTAATTAATGCGTACTTATTGTTTTAATTACGTTTTAATATCACTTAATTGACCTAAAAATTCTTAAAGGTAAATAAATACCTCCACAGATAAAATGAAACATATATCGATGACTTTCTGCCAAAGTATCGCAAGCAACATAACTTAAATTTCGGGAATTGAAAACAATTTTTGTTTTAAAGTCTGTTTTAAACCATATATAACTTATAGGTTTTATAACAAGGAAATAGCTATAATTATAAGCTATTTACTTGTTATAAAACCTTAAGGCTATATTTAATTTAAAACAGACTTTAAAACAAAAAATGTTTTCAATTCTCGAAATTTGAGTTATGTTGCTTGCGATACTTTGGCAGAAAGTCATCGATATACGCTTCTATAGTTCCTGGTACCCCGCGAGGTTTTATTGGAAAATGTATGATTTTTAATGAAACTCTGACATTGACATTGTATATTTTAAAAAAATTACAAATCGTTTACGTTTCTATAGTTCCTGGTACCCCGTGAGGTTTTATTGGAAAATGTATGATTTTTAATGAAATTCTGACATTGACATTGTATATTTTAAAAAAATTACAAATCTCCAAATTAAAGATTTGGGCAAAGATTTTCAAAGATTACGGATAAAATAAAAAATATATACGTTTCTATAGTTCCTGGCAACCCGTGAGGTTTTATTGGAAAATGTATGATTTTAAATGATACTCTGACATTGACATTGTATATTTAAAAAAAATTACAAATCTCCAAATTAAAGATTTGGGCATAGATTTGTCTTAAAAAACTATTAATTATTTGAAAATGAATCATCTTACATTTTATACATGTATCTTTACATAATTATTACAATAAACCAATTGATGTCATCGTACTTAATAAAAATTAGAATTGAACAATACAACCTTTATGGTTAACGTATGTATATATCTAGATCGTATAGGTATTACCGGTGCCTGGGAAAATTACGACAAAAAATCTTTATGTAATACACTAAAAACTCTCTCTTTCTCGAGCCAAAGATGACCAGTTGCTCGTGCAAATTGGTATTGAATGAATGGGCTTTTAGGTTTTTAGTTCGACTTTGAATAGTCGAAAAATAGAAATATAATAAATTATTGGTTTTTAATTAAGAGTGGTGTGGTGTTTTGATGAAGAACTATAATAGGGTTTACTAGTGCACAAAAATGTTGGTTTTTCAAGTAAGTGTTTCTAACTTGTAAAGTACTTATTATACCTAAAATCTATTGTACTAACACATTTTTGTTATTTAAATTATTCATTTTGTTTGCTACCTACTTAATTAATAGGTGTTTTCGGATTACAATATTTAATTTAAACATTTAATTTGTTAAACCATTCTAGTTTATGTAACAATCAACCTATTCGGTAAAATTTTCAATTTAATTATTTTTATTGCTTCACCCAAAAAAAAAAAAAACATACAAATTCCAGTCGTAATAGTTGTGTTTAGTGTTATATATTATTTTCAGTTGGCAATCGTATTATCAGTATTGTGCTTCTTCAACACGCATGCGCAGTCCAGCAACAGAAGACTACAAGAAGACGACCCTGAAGATAGGCGTTTAAACAGAAGAAGAAGGCCATGTAGAATAGGAGGCGGAAAATTTAAGCATGGGGAAGGCAGAACTTTTCTGGACTGGAACTACCAATACGTCAATGTAAATTACAATCACAATTACAATATCGATTGTAGTGGTGGGGGCGGGGGAAAACCCAATAAGGGACATCATGGAGGAGGAGGAGGAGGAGGAGGGTTTGGAGGATTCCCCCAAACAGGTGAGATTAACATCTTTACAATGGTGTCTCTTTTATTAAAATCGGATTATAAATAAGAAAGTTACGTGTGTCTTTTAAAACAATGCATTTTAGGATATTTTCCACCCCCGCTGCCGCCTCCAAATCCCCCGCCGGTTCTTCCACCCCCATATTACTCCCCACCTCAACAAGCTCCTTATCCCCAAAGGCCTGGCGGAGCTTTTGGAAATAGACCTTTTGGGGGATTATTTGGAAGTTTGTTTCAGTCCCAGTCTCAGTCACAAGCATCATCTAACGAAGGTAATACTTGAAAAAGGACAACTTTTGTGATATTTTAAACAAACATTAGAAATATTCCCCAATACCTAAACAGAACACAGTGCTTAAAGTATTTTTCGCCAACTATGTTGGCATCGATGCTGAAGATCTTCAGAAGCGAAGTGTAACTGTTGTTTTGTTTTGGTGTTGGGGAATATTTCTAATATATCTTTAACGAAGGTAATAATAAACGCTGTGGCTCCCGTCCCGAGGCGGGACTTAAGTTCAGTCCCGATTGACGTCATAATTTTAAGATTTGTTATGTTATAATAAAATATTAATAATAATAAATTGTACCTGTATACATGTTAAGGGCACGTTAGTTACGTCATAAAACCAAACCAACCCAAACTCAACAACACAACCCAACCGACCCTGCCCCATTGCCCCCCCCCCCGCCCCATTGAGCAAAAAACTCAACTAAAATGGGCAAATTTATGTTACGATAAAAATAAAACACTTTTTAACAAAGAAACAACAAATTTATAAAATAAAAAAAATAAAAAAAGTTTGACAACTTCTAGTAGAATCGAACCCGGTACCTCTCGCATGCCAAGCGACCGCCCTACCATCTAAGCCATCCAGCTTGACACCAATTATAAAAGCTCTGGGAATAAAAACGGATTTACAGTGTGTGACGTCTGTCGGGATCGAAGTTAAGTCCCGCCTCGGGACGGGAGCCACATCGAATAATAAACCCTCAATGATGAATACTGTATATGGGTTATTTTCAAATTTCTTGTTCATTTGCTGTCCCTCAACTTTAATATTTTATAAAAAATTGAGTTTTACGCCATTTGGAACTTTACTAAGCGAAATCAATTGGTTTAAGTGTTTTTAGCAACTATATATTAGCAAAATTGTAAAATCTTAAATTTAATCCTATACAAAAATTAAACTTTCCCCAACAGTACAGAAAAGTAGCTGTCCCACTTGCAATAATCACTACAATGCTATTTAAACATCTTAGAGTAAATTAACATCCTCCTTTTTTTATATAGTTGAGAATATTTCCAAATATTACAGAAAAAGCCCATTTGTGGTAATATTTACAAAATACAAGTGGTTAAAATAACCTCTAAAGATTGTCCCTTAATTTTCACAGCTTTTATAAACGACCTTTTAAATTAAGGGCACATTTTTTGGTGCTGCCCTTTTGCAGCAATGTATTTGGTAACGGATTTTAGTAGAAATTGGTGTTTTGAACTACCTTGAAGCCACAACACATTTTTTATATTTTTTAAACTAGCGTGACAAAACTGTGCATTCTCCTGTGTCACAGTAAAAAAAAGTAGTAAAGGTACCAGTTGAACTTAGTTTGCTTCTCAAAAGAAAGTATCCTAGTAATGGTTTTAAGGGCGAAATTCAAATTTTTATCTTCACAACAGTAAAGAGGTTCTAAAAACACAAATTTTTTCCCCAGGGTCACACATCTCCTGGATCACATATTGTGTGACCCAGGGGAAAGTTATGTAGGGGACAATTCCAAAGAAATTAATTAAAATATATTATTAAAATAATAATAACTTATAGGATAGCTTTAAAAACATTTTTTTTTCGACCTTCCACCATTTCTGTTTCTGACAGTACGTAGCCAATTTAAAATAATGTCCTCCACCTTTTTAATAGTAATTTTTCTTGTCAATGTATTTTGCCTCAAAGAAGTTGGAAAAAATTTTTAGGTAGTTCAACGAAACAGTGTTTATATTGACTTTTTATTATTATTTTATTAATATTACTAATGACTAAAACTATTATTATTATTAATTATTAATTTATTGCTCGTTAAATTGGACAAGCTGGGCCCAGATAAAACATGGAGAAAAAACGTTTTTAATACGCTTTGAAAGAAAGTTTCTTAAACTTACCTTTTTTAATACAGAAAATATATTAAAAATACTTATGTATGTAAGAATGTTGAGAAATAGAAGAGGTTTGTAGATTTGGTAGAATTTTGAAAATGACCCACATTTTAAGATCAAGTGTGCAAATTATAATTTTAAAGATTTTCCAAACCTTAATAATCCAAAAATTCCAAATAACATTACATTACCTAAACACCTTTAGATTCTGTAAGCCAAAACAGACCACCAAATGTAGTCCAAGGCATCAACAATGCAGTCCAGAACGTGGGCATGATTGGGCAAAGCGTGGTACAAGCAGGCACAGGAATATTTTCCAGTTTTCCCCAGTTTGAATGGCCAATGTTCCAACTCCCATCTTTCGATCCTCCTCAGCTGCCCAGTTTGAGTGAAGGAGGGGGGAATTTTGGCCAAGGGTTGCAAAGTTTTTTTCAGGGTTTTGGAGATTTGTTTAATAGACCTGCATCTGCATCCAGTCCCGCTTCTACAGGTATAGATGCTGGTTAATTTTTGATGATTATGTAACATCTAACATTTTACTAATTTCAAGTAGATCATATAATATTTCATCTGCCAATGATACAAAGAACGCAGTTTAGTCATGTCAAATATCATCCATATTTTCTACATTCTAAAACTTAACCAGTATCTAACCTTTTAATTCTTGTTAACATCTAAAAAACAAATATTCTTACCTCCATTTCATAGTCGTATCATTATCTCCCCCAACTTCCTAGTAGAAACACCAACTCCTAAACGATCATCAACTAAAACCAATAATTTTGTATGTAAAGGATGCCAAATCAAGAACATGATTTTTGAATTAAAAAGACAGCATTTCTTCAAAATTTTTCAAGTGGAAATGCTTACCTGCTAAACCTCAGGCGTTATGGGGATCAAAATTGGCCACCAAGAAGTTGGGATTTAGCTCCTATTGACCTTATTTTTGAAAATTAAATATGTATAGTAAAATCATTTAAATGCTGTACTTTTTAAATTCAATATTTTAAAAACCTGTTGGTTTTCGCCCCTAGCACCCTGCCACTGATCTTTATCTTCCTCAGGTTCGCCATCGAGCCCCCCGGTGGCGTCCCCCTCCGCCCCGACGCCTGTCCCCCCAACCGACCCCGACGACGTCATTTTCAATGACGAAAAACCGGTCAACGAACCCTACGATCCTGTTCAACCGGACGCTTATAGCAATTTGAAACCTGGTCAGTATTTCGTTGCTCAAAATCCACATTTGGGCAGTTTTGTCGCTGAGGTTACCGATTTTTTGCCGAAGAACATTTTTAAGAAAGTTGAGAAGCATGTTGGGGAGTTTTTTAGCGATCTGTTTGATTTTTGATCCTATAATGTTATAGTAAATTTTGTGAATAGATCTTCACTGAAAATTGGGCGAAGTAGACATCTTATTTTTATTTCAGGAGTTATTTATAATAAACTGCCCAACTACCAGAATCGCTACGAGGCTCAAAAACAATACAACAGCAAATATGCTCAGAACGACAAATTTTTGAGCCCCGAGTCCAGATCGGGATCCAGATCACTTAGGTTTCCAGAGTAAAAAATACAGTTTTGAATATAATTTCTATTTTTTTTTATAAATATATATTAATAAAATATGCTAACAAAGATAATTTTAGTGTTTTTTAAAATTGAAAATGTCTTATGGCTCGACACAACTTTACCTTAGTACATAAAACATGGATATACCTTAGAGCATACAAAACGTGGACATGTTCCAATTCAATAGAAAACACGCTGTGTATATAAAATTAAAATTTTAAGTTATACGTGACAAATAAAGTAATTTTCGATAATACTTCCTTTTATTAATCTATCTTTCACCTTATCATTTTTATTTCCCTGGTATTCAAAAATGACTGATTTAATAGTATCGTGCAGTTTAAAACAAAATGTGCATACAAAATGTTAATAATAATATACCTATAGGTAAGTGCCAAAATTGTAAAAATTATTTAAAAATTATATTCCTGGAAGTTTTATATAACAAAATTAAGACTGTTTTTACATTTAAAAATGTTCAGATCTAATAATATTTACTTGTCGAAAATACTTTTTAAAGTGACTAGGGTGAAGTGGGGTAAATGCACCCACCCAAGTGCAAAACACAAATTGAATAGTTAATATAATTCTTTAGAACAATAGTAAGAGTCCAGTCTTTGGCCTGTATACAACTCCCTTAGTGGTGTATCTCATGGCAGATCTAAACTCTGCGTTAAAGGTAATACGCCACCACAGCTATTTTTTTGTAAAAATATATACATGTGGGTGCACTTGCCCCATATTTGGGGCAAGTGCACCACCACCGGCTAGTTCCCATATTATAAGTACGAACGTATTCACGGGGCAAGTGCAACAAACTCACAGTTTTGTGAATTTTTTGCAATTTACCGCAAGTAAATTCACGGGGCAAGTGCAACAAACTCACAGTTTTGTGAATTTTTTGCAATTTACCGCAAGTAAATTGACTTATTGGTTATAAAGTTATTACATTTAACTCGAATATTTAGGGAAATTATCAGGCAACAAAAAATCCATGATTACAAACTGATAGTTTTTATTCTCAACTGTTTTCTTTTAAAACCCAATTGGTGCACTTACCCCAAAAGCGCACTTACCCCACTTCACCCTAATTCTCAGTATCATGGCTTGTCCCACATTTAAACTAAGTTTAATACTTTTTTCTCGTCAAGAGATAAATTTTTCCAAATTTTTTAAAAAATCACTTCACTAGACATTGTTTTCAGTAACCTGGTTAATTTAAAACAAACAAAAACCTGAGGTTTCCATTTAACTGAGTAAATTTTATTGATATTTAAAAATTCTCAGTATCCTGTCAATATAAATTTCGTAATTCTTTAACAAAGACTAAATTACATATAACTATGAGTAGATAAACGATGATTTCAGTCCATTTTTTATTTTATTCTCAATTTCCTGGCGGTTGATTTTCTTCAAATGGTTATATATCTGTTATTTTTAATTATCTTGACTAATCCGCTTACTTAACATAATCTGAAAGATGTTATACAGGGTGTCACCTAATAAATTGTCAAATTGACACATTAGAACAACTCCGCGAACTTGTCACTGCAGCGGCAGATGAAATCCGAAATCATCCGGATATGATAGCAAGAGCCTCACATTATAATTTTCTACGCCGTTGTCAACTTTGTGTGGATACTAACGGAGGGATAGTTGAACATTTATTAGGATTTTGTGGAACAAAAAATAACTACATGAGCATCAATCAACGTGAAAAGTGAAAGGTGAAATTTAAAATCGACGGGAAAACCACGGAAACCTAGAGATAAATAACAATAAAAAGTAAGTCAGTAAAACAATTAGTCAACCAAAGTAATCAACGATAACACAAATGTAAATTCTGTAATGAATGTAGATTATTGCCCACTGTGCAAGCATATTTTGCGTCGGTTGTCATAGGTCAGAAACAACCAGTGGCGGCCCAAAATTTCTACTTTACTTTTAAAAATGTTAATGATTTATTTATTAAAAAAATAGCACATCATTAATGATTCACTTAAAGGATGACAACTTATTTGGTGACACAAGGAAATTAAATATTAGTATTACTATTAAAAAAAAACATGGTAGAGCCAGTAAAATTATAAACTATATTATTTAAAATGCCCACTTTTTGATTTGATGATGTTGAATAAATGAATAGATAAGAATACTTTTAAATCATATTACACAGTCAAAAGCAAAGTAGTAAGCAAGGAAATTTGAACTTTTGAAAATAAATTTCTGAGTTTTGTGATTAATAATAAGAATTAAATACATTTTAACATAAGAATGATGAAAGAAGAAAAATGTGATAAAGACGTAGGTAAGTATAATTAATAATTATTATAATTATTATAACAGCAGGTACAAAATTTCTATTGAATACTTTGATGATTTTTTTGTACATATAAATAAAAAGAATACATGTATAACTTATTTTTCTAATATGAATATAAATATAAACCCAATCACGCGTTTTAAATATTCCATTGCTCTAAAAGTGTTATATTACAAAGTGAAACCTTAGTTGGAAAAAAGACTTACTTATTACACACAAAAAGGCAGTAAGGGATACCTATAGTCATTTACACACAGTATACAAACTAATTCTAATCTATGTGTTCCATAATAATGTTGTAATATTTATTTAACAAACAAAAAAAGAACAATAATAAAACAGAAAATGTATGCAAGTATAAAATGAATTAACACAATTATTCTCATGTAATTTTTTTTAGATATGGAGGACTTCAAGATGGATCTAACAGATCGCCGTGGACCGAATAGTTGTTCATCCCTACACAAAATAAGTTTTGGTTTGGGACATATTTACAACGATTTATGTGCTGCAATGTGGTTTTCATACACTCTTTTTTATTTTCAAGTGGTTCTGCAAATAAATAGTACCAGTGCGGGGATATTACTTATGTTAGGTCAAATAATAGACGCAATAGCCACTCCACTAGCAGGCTGGATCATAGACTACACAAATAGCAAAAGAATATGGCATTTTATTGGTAAAGTATATATTTTTTATTACATATGTAGTCCACAATTGGCAAGTAGACCACAGATTTTAAATGACTCCATAAGAAAAAATCTAATGGAGTCAGATCTGAAGATCTGGAAAGCCATTATATTGTTCCTCATCTACCAATCCTCTGTTCTGGATAATTCTGATTCAGCCAAGCCCTAACATCTACTACATAATGAGGTTGTGCCACATATTGTTGAAAATGTAACAAATTTTCATCCAAAGCTAGTTCATCATCCTTTCAGGAATCCTGAATCAGGATACTGGGTATGATTTACTCTGATGAGATGAGGATTTTCACTGCTTCAATAGCGACAGTTTTGTTAATATTTTTATTTAGATAAAAAGTACACTCATCTCTGAAGCAAATGCTTTTTATTAATTGGATCTGATTTGTTATTTTGTTGGTCATGATTTCACAAAATTCTGCATCATCATCGCCAAGTTCTTGTGTAATAAGCATTTTGAATGGGAGGAATTTGTGATGTTTCAACACCTTCCTAACAGACTCAAGGCACAGCCATATTAATCTAGATGCCGAACGAAGTGATATTGTGGGATCTACACCAAACTGACCAAGAACCTCAATTCCTCATTGAGTATCGTAGGTTGGTTTCTTTTTCGATTGCAAACAGATACCGTTTGTTAAAATTTTGCAACCAGCTCTTAAACATAATTATGATGCACATTTTTGCCAGGGTGTAACAATACTATTTAAAATATTAAAACCAAAGAGCATAGCAGTCTTTTTATAGGTTTTTATAATTTTACACATTCCATTGCGGATTTAAATTGTTCAATAATTTCAATTATAATTGAACAACAACTCCTTCAGACAACTCTGATATACAATTGTGATTTAGTTATTATATATATATGTATTTTTTATTTTAGGAACAATAGCAGTTTCGATAGGCTTCTCTTTAATTTTTTCTCTAAAATCTACAACAGTATACAGTAGTGTTTTATTATACTACGGTTTGGTAATAACGCTATTTCAAGTAGGATGGGCCGTAGTACAAATATCCCACTTGTCATTGATACCAGAAATTTCGAAAAATCATAATCACAGTTCAGATCTCACAGCCATCAGGTAAAATACATTTTTAAATATAGTTTTGAGCTTTTTAAGTTTCAGAAATTTCTGAATAATAATAAATACTTACAGAATCTTTAAAAAGAAACTATGTAAATGTACAGGTTTTGAAGTTTTTCTTTTTCTTTTAGGTATACAGCTTCAGTTTGCTGCAGTGTAACAGTTTATATAATAACCTTGATAATTTTGGATAATGGTTCCCAAACATCAACAATAGGTCCTGCAGATTTTTACAAATTCAAGGTTAGATATATTATTATTATTATTATTATTATTATACCTATATGTTATTATGTTATTAGTGTCATAACAACTTGACACCTATATCGGACCATGTATATACAAAAAGTTTATATACAAAAGTGCTCTTTTAGTTCCACCCTTACTTCTTAAGAAGTCCCATAAGCCAACTGAATGGCTTGTGCGGGTTAGGGATAGGAACGGACCGCGGGCTTAAAGTGTCCTCCGAAGGACTATTACACAATAGGACAAACACAAATAAACAGCCATACCCCTGGTGGGATTCGAACCCACGACCTCCGGCTTGTAGTCAGCAGCACTAACCAATAGTCCACCATCGGCGATAATTATATTGGCCTAGGACGTTAAGCTTAACAGTACAGTTTGTAGATTTGTACGTTGACATTGTTAAATTGATAAATACACTTTAGAAAGTACAATATCTTAGTTTGTGATCTTTTTCATCGACAGTTTCTGCTGTTCAGCAACTGCCACCTTTAACCGCTAACACACTCCTAAAGCAATGCCCTGTGTAACATTCAAAATTCTTCTTAAAAGTTGTGCAATTTTTTGTGGAACTCCTCCTATTGTGTGAATTTCTACATGCTCTTTGGTGCATTTGCCATTTCTGTAGTCGACTAAGAAAATTTTCTATACATAACAGAGCACAACTCTTGAAAGGAGTTACGTCTTCCATAATAGTGAACTTTCGGGAGGATTTATTTTTTGTGCCTTGTAGTTTCACAACACAACAACAACAACTTAAAATTATTATTATTATTATTAATATTTTTTGATATTATGTAGGAAATCGCCTTGATAATAACATTTATTGGACTTTTATCATCTTTACTCTTTTACTGTGGAATCCTGGGTCTTCCCGATAAAAATGATCAGTATGAATTGATAAAGGAAGAACAAGAAATCGAAGATGCCAATAATCTTGGAGCGAATGACAAGGAGAAACATTTTTTGAAATCATCAGTGATATATTTGGTATCTTTATTGTAAGCATTATAAAGGGTGTTTCATAAAAAAACATGTAATTATCCATTTTACCTAGATATATGGCTTCAAGACTTTTTACAACACTAAATTTGGTTTACATTCCTCTATATATCGCTGAAAGGGCAACCAACGAAAATATGGAGATGGATGGAATTCGTGAAACGATAGCTACAGTTCCACTGGTTTGCTATATAGCGTCCTTTTTAACAGCTATATTTTTAAAGTTTAGGCTATCGTTTTGTGGGGACAAGGTAAATAAAATGTCCACCCGATTTATTGATCATTTACAAGATAATTGGGTCCTGATATAACTTTCATATTAGACATGTTAAAAAAATAAAAACGGTTATTATATTAAGAATTATAAATAATATTATTTTGTCATAACTTCATAAATATTCAGTATGACAAATTATTAAGTTGTATATCTGACATAAATTTTCTTCCAGATTGTGTTACCACCAATAAGAGATTTGAGTTAAGTTACATCAGGGCCCCGAATCATTAAAAATTAAATTTGGTCTTGCAACTTCAGGGTTTACATCTGTATTGTTTGTTTAAAACCATTATTTTTTAGATAATATATTTTATTGGTTCTGTATATGGTTTATGCGCTTCCATGTGGATAACCATTGGTATACCTCTAACCTCGAATTGGCAATTGTATTGTGTTGCAATATTACTAGGTTGGTACTATTTTTTACACGAGATGTTTCCTATTTAAGTAATTGTTTTATAGATAAAAAAAGTTAATTTTACTTATTGGTTCTAGGTATTAGTGGTTCTGCGACAATGGTGGCTAGCTTATGCCTGACTGCAAATTTCGTAAAATCAAATGGTTATGGTGGTGGATTTGTTTATAGCATTGTAACATTCACAGACAAGTTTATATCTGGATTTGTGGTACTTTTGGTGCAAAATATGTAAGACAATTTCCCTCTCGCTTATAGCGACTAAAAAATTAATATTTTAATATTTTTAGGCAATGTTCTCCAATTTCCGAATGTCCTCATTATTATGAACATGTCTTGTCATACATAAGTGGTGGAGTTTCCCTTGTTGGTATAGTTTCCTTGGGCTTGCTTCAGTGGCAAATTAAAAATAATGGCAGACGAAACTCCTAATGTTAAAAAAAACATATATCCACAATTCACATACATAAATACTTGTAGCTCTTGTTCCACTAAACACCTAGGACTTGTGCGATATACATTTTACTTGCAACCTTAATGTAACCCTCTGTTGCGGTGGTGGACTTCCACCTACCATGATGCTTGATGGTGAACATATTACCCCCGGCCTTAGCCAATAATGTCGCCGATGATATGACAATGTAAGATTGCTTCTGGTAGTTTCAAGATGGAATTTTTGACAGTGCTGCTATCAACGGGTTGCGTGTTACATTTTTCAGTACCATATCGTGTATTTCCTACTAATTCCAATAGAGAAGCCTTCATCGACGATGTCAGGGATTGAAATATGACCCTTATCCAGTATACTCGCAATAGTTAGGTTTGTCAATTCATTATCATTCACAATCTAAAATATTTGAAATAAGGCTTTCATCATCAGGAACTCTTTATCGGATGCTTTGGCCTTTTTAGGTTTGTGGAACTTTTTAAAAACGAAGGCAGGCTTGTCTTGAGCATCGAATATGTTGTCCACAATAGGGATGAACATGTTTTCTTTACATTTGGAAAATATGCTTTGACATCCTTGGCAGCAACTGGAAACACGTTTCTTCTTGGGCTTCCTTGCAAGGAACCATGGTTATATCTGAAGGAAAATAATTTTTTTCGACCTCTTCCATCTTAGCACTTTGGTGTTTTTGTCAAATTTTTAACGATTAATTATTGGTAATTTTCCTTAGTAACACTGAAATGTTTAGCTCGCAATCCACACAACATCTCGTTTCGCACATAATAAAAACCACATCACAGACTCTAACGGCGGCCATTATTATGTTGTTTACAATTCTTGTGCTTCGGGTTTGTGCTGTTTATACAGATTAATAATCGTTTTAAACGTTGTTTTTCTTACAGAGGCACTTGTAAGCCTCAAATGAGGCCTTAAAGTGCTAAGGACAACCATTTTACTCCTCTTTTTGTAAAAATAAACCTTATATAAGGTTAGAATATTCTATCAGGGCTATCATAAAACTGTCAAATTTCAATTTTACCCAGGACAGGTTCTGGTTTCTGCTAATTTGTCCTGGTTTTAATTGTGTACTGGTTTTGTCCTGGTTTTGCAGATTTGGTCCTGGTTCTTTTAAAACAATGTTTTTACATTTTGGTTAGACTCTTCTGTGGTTGGACGTCCATTTTGGTGCTCGTAGTGTCCGATTGCTCAATGAAAGAGTAGTAAAATATATGTGACTTCTAGACCTGGGAGGGGCAAAATGGGGGTCCCAGTATAGTAAATATACCTGTATTTTTGGAAAATATCACAAGCTTTGACCTTTTAGCAAGGTATTTTGTGATTTGTACAACGGATTGAGTGAATTTTTCAAGATTGAAATTTTCACATTGTGAAATGGCGGATGTAGCTTGCTAAAACCGTTAGACGTTAAAACTTGTATCTGGTCAGTAAGAAATTTAAATTTGTGGGATGGTTAATTAACCTTAAAATTAAAATTTGACAGTTTGATAACGGCCCTGATAGAATAAGGTTTACTTTTACCAAAAGAGGAGTAAAATGGTTGTTCTTAGCACTTTAAGGCCTCATTTGAGGCTTACAAGTGCCCATGTAAGAAACACAACGTTTAAAACGATTTTTAATCTGTTAAAGAGCACAAACCCAAAGCGCAATTGTAAACAACATAAAAATGGCAGCCGTTAGATTCTTTGTGTTGCAGTGATTTTTAGTAGGTATGCGTGAAACGAGATAGAACAGACTTGTTGTGAACTAGTTTTCTGTGTTTACATAGTGTCGCGCAATAGTACAATTTTCAAAATTGAATTTTGTAAAAGTATTGCGCATTATTATATGTGAATTGTGGATAAAAAATTGTATTGCACTTGTGGATTACCAAACAATAAAATACTTAGGGTTTTATTAGCTTCTTAATCCATACGTGCAATAAATAACTATTATCTTTAGTTAATTATATAATTTTATACGTTAAAACCAAAATAAACACATTAATATATTGTTGTATTAATTATAATTATTTATGTAGAAATAAAAAACACTCTACTACTACACATAAAAATTTAATATCACAGAGTAGTTAAGTCTAAGTACTCCCTAAGAATGATCTACAAAAATGCGTTCGTATAGGAATAAATAAGAATGAGTCAATATAAATATAACAATACTATGTACATGTAAAATTACTGCTAAAACGGTTAAAACCTTGAGCTTTTCAGGTCCTAGTCTAAGAAATCCTTCGCACGATCATTAACAACGCAACTTCAAGGAATGTTCGTTATAAGTTCAACTGCTGTTTCTTGATGTAGGGCGTACTTTTGAGCAGCTCATCGATGGTATCCTCGTTGTAGTAAACCACGAACTCCTTGGGACTCAGTCCCTCGAAAACGGCGCTGACCGCCGGCTTCAGGTTGTAGAAGAACAGAGGCTGGTCTCTGGCGGCGAAGTCTTGGGTTAGGGTTTCCACCACGGTGGCGGCAGTGTAGTCTGCGCCGTAGATGTGCGAGCAGTCGATCACCACGGGAATCCCCTGGCGGATCGAGTGTTTTGTAACGAGGTTTCTGACGTAGTCCACCGAGGGAAAGATCAGGCATCTGTCGGGGGTCAGCATCATGTAGTCTATGCCGCTGTGTGTCTGAAAAAAAAATATGGGTGTTAGAATGTCACAAACCATGAAAAATAGAAAGTAACACTTTGGGTTTTATTATTGCTGTAACAGCCTCTTTTAAAATTACACCTTAAAAATATTTGTACTTCAATACGCTGTTACAGCAGGCTTAAGACTTTCTTAGAACCAAAATAAGAGAATCCTTTTATTGCCTTCAAGGCCTATTTTTGCACATGTAATAAAACCTTAAGGTTTTATTATAATTGCTTTAATGAGGTTGTCACAGCTTTCATAAATCCTCCTCTGACACCTTCATAAAGCTAAATGGTAGTTAAGTGAGCTTTATGGTGTCCTGACGAAGAGGTCGATAAAGCTAGTTAGCATGTAAGCGTATTTTTTTTTAACATTTTTGCCGTAGTATATATATTGCCGTAGTATATATATATATATATATTCTAAACCAAAGCAATATTATAATATTGCTATGGTTTAGAATAATATTAAAACTATTATCTCTCGAGTAAAGACTTAATGAAAGTTAATAAAATACTTCTTAAAAACAAATGGGCCTTTGCAATAAGCTAATTTTGCAACAATTTATCATATTTGTTTTTATGGTATTACATAGAAATTGATATTCTTTTCTAAAAAGAGCATTTTAATCAAAGTTAGGTATAATAACCTGGCAAGGATTACCTTTGTTGTTAAAAATGTTTTGCTTAAATGATTTCAAAAAAACAAATCCATATACATTATATATATTATAAATAGTTTAATTAATTCATATTAGTTTTTTTTAATTAATTTTAATTAGAAATGAGAAATTTTTTAGAATTATAATTATTTTAGCAAAGCATTTTTAAGTACAAAAATATGGATGATGAAAAAAATGGTCATACACCTTTAACAGCAGTATCTCCTTCATAAAGAAATAATAAAACCTATATATTTTATTAAAACCGAAAAATTATGTCATAAAACCAATAGGCAGTTGAAAAGGTAACCACTAGAGTGTTTATTCTAATTTAAAGCAACATTTCTTTGGTGGTTTTATGAGGGAAGTAATGCCTTTTTCTGCGACGCCTTTTTCACTTTTCTATAAAAATTGCCACTGCTTTTCACTTTAACCCTCTGGTCGAATAATGATGACATTTTGCATGTGCTAATTAGATTAACCTGAATACGACACTACATATAATAGCGGCGCATGATGTCGTAATTTGGTTTTAGAGCTAAAATGCCTTGTAATTTATTGTCATTGAGAAACTGCTTTTGAGAAGCTATCACACAGGAGAATAATAAAGCAGACTAAAGTATTACCTGTACAAAGTACTTACAGCACAAGCAAATATTCTTAGGACAGTTTCCTTTAGAAATTTGGTTTTAACTGCTTCCATAAAACATACTTTTTAAGAACCCTTAAAACCAATGTACTGCCACAAAGCTAAGTTAAAACACAAGTGTAATAGGCGTTATGGTTTTAAAAGTAGGTTTTGTTGTGTCTAATGAAGCTTTTTATTAAAGTAATATGGTTCTAAGAACAATTAACCTTTATGATAACTCCCATAAACCTAAACATCTTTTTAAAGAGTCTGACAAAGCTTTGATATACTTTTGTTGTGATTAAATCCGTATAATATTTGGACTTACCGTCAATTTTTCAACTGAAATCTTTGGCCTTGCAGCATGGTACAGAATGAACAACAAGTTGATACCAACTCCAACGATGATGCCAACTTCTAAAGGCAAAACCAGGCAGGCTATAAACGTGGCCAAACCAAGAATCAAATCACTTTCTGCAACAATAAATATAATAATAATTAATTTTTTCGAAAATATTTTTCTCAAAACTTACTTTTTGACCTCCACATCGGCTTCACAACCTTAACTTCCACCATGAACACAACTGCTGCGATTATAATGGCAGCTAAAGTTGCCTTTGGAATATAATAGAAATATGGTGTGAAGAAAAGGAGAGCCAATATCACCAAAATACTCGTGTACAAGCCGCTTAGAGGCGTTCGCACGCCACTGGAATTTAGTACAGCACTCCTCGATAAGGAACCTGAGCCTGGGAAAGATTGGACGAAAGAGTTTGCTATGTTCGATAGACCAATGGCCAAAAGTTCCTGAGTTGCGTCCACAGGCTTTCCGTTTGCTGAAATAAATGATATTTTATTATAAATTAATTCTTCTGAATCATAATATCACAATAATCAAAAAATCATTGTATACTTACAAAAGGCTTTACAGATTGCAATATTCTCCAACAATCCAATCAAAGGCACCACCAGTATCCCTGAACCCAAATCCGTTACCATCTCCGTAAAACTAACAATTGCAGTGGTACCATTGGAAACGTTTTCGTACCCAAAAGGTGGCACCATTGGTGTCGGTAAGCCTTGAGGGAGAGCACCAATAACTTTGAAAGGAGGCTCGCCGTTTAGACAGAAAGTGTAGCCTATGAAACCTCCTACAATGACTAGAATCGCATTCCTGGACGTTCCAATGAGCCAGAACGTGCTGTTGACTAATTTTTGGAACCTGTTTGGTTGTTTGTTCTCATCGTTTTCGGTAGGGCCTATTCTTATTGTAGCCAATATCTAGAAAAAACATATTAGATTAGATTTGCTACGATAAACAACTACAACACCTCTACATCATAGGTTATTGTACTTACCCTCATTATCAGTAGTACCGCTATACAGGAAATGCCAAAAACGGTATCCCAAGCATTTGTATTGTGGATGTCCTGACTTATGCTCTGCCAGGTGTTCACAAAAGTGCTACCGCTTGCTTTGATGCCCAACACGTCCTTTACTTGCGAAGTGACTATGATTAGAGCCACGGCTGATGTGAAGCCTGAGGACACTGGTCCTGACACGAAGTCTATCAGAAATCCTGTGGATGAATAAAAGGGTATTTTAGGGTTTGTTTCAAGAAGATGTAAGTAATTGAAAAAGGTGATATGTTAAACAAATATTCCCCACTACCAAAACAATACACGAAGTGCTTAAAGTTCTTTTCGCCAAAAATGTTGGCATTTTTAGAAACGAAGTGTAACTAAATTTAATGGCTTAATCTACCATATTTATACTACTACTCTTGAGTTCAATATCTACAGAAATCCTACAAGAATTGCACGTTACATCACTTCAGACTTGAACCACTGCACACAATATGGTAGTGAGCAGATTAGTTTTAACTTTTTTGTTCGTAGGTTGGTAAACTTTCCACTTAGTAACAGCAGATACTAAAGGGCTCAGTTTTATAAAAGACATTGCTAGAGACAATGGTTTTGAAACCACCCTATTAGATAAGGTCTGGAAGGGATTTATCGAAAATTGGACTTAAAAATTGCTTTTAGTTCAAGCAGCTACACACTTTTTAGGCAACCCCAAAGATGAGATTAGTAAAATTGAAAAGATTCAAGATTGTGACAAGAAATATGTTGGGCAAACCAAATGATCCATCCAAGTAAGATTCAAAGAGTGTTGCCCAACCATCATCAAGTATAGATGATGGTCATAGAATAGGATTTGACAACCTTAAACTTATTAAGGAAGTTAGGGAACCAAGTTTGCTAGATATTGATGAAAGTTTATAAATGTATAAGAATAAAAATAAATCTTTAAATAACGATAACGGACCGGTACCCAACTTTAGTTTGTATAAATTAGTTTATTTTCTCTTTACGTGTTCACTGAGGCGATTACGGTCCACCGATTAGTAAACTGTGTCCGCTTACAGTTCAGTGAACCTTAGCTTATAATTAGTATAAATATGGTAAATTTAGCACTTAGATTTAGTCACACTTCGCTTCTGAAGATGCTAATATTGTTGGCGAAAAGTACTTAAAGCACTTTGTATCAATTCTATGGTCAGCGCATCAAAAACCTTCGAAAAGTATGGGACTTTGAGGACTCACCTAAACCAAATATCCCCATTAAGAGCTGCACCGACCCAGTGAGAAAACACAGTAAAATCGCATGCTGAACTCCATACTTATTGATGGTTTGATAGGTCAGCAGCGAAGCTATCGCTGTGGGACCCATAGGAACATCCTTACAACTCCCCAGGAATATGTAGACAAAACACCCGAGGAAAGAAGAGTACAACCCGTACTGCGCGGGCAATCCTGCTATGTTGGAGTAGGCTAGGGCTTGCGGGATGACAGTTAAGCCGACTGTAACGCCAGCGACTAGATCGCCAATAGCATCGTCCCTGTTGTACTTTGGAAGCCACGAACAGATAGGGAAGCGTCTGTTCAGCATTTTTTTGCTACAAGCTGTTTGGCATTTTTTGGTCAACCACGGTACAGCGTTTTTGAGCACTTCCTTCACTGAATTTGTTCGATGATCGTCCACCACTGGAATTAGGGAGAAGAGGTTTAGAAATATGCGAATGTTAAGATTTTTTTATCCACGTGTAATTTTAAAACTATTTTTGTATGATTTTACTTACATATAAAGTCGTTGCTTCCCTTAAATTGGGTATTTTTTTCTATATCTATGCTAGTGGAAAATGCTGGATTACTGTACGCGTTGTTTATAAGGTGACCACCTCCGCCAGCTCCTTGTACATCTTGTTCCTCCCTTGTGGCGTCACTAAAAAAATGCAAAAAGACATTTATTTATATTCAAATTCGTCACAGCAAATATTACAATTATTATTCATCACTATATGGTAGACTATTGTGTCACATTTCTATTAATTAGAGTAGACAAATAAACATTGAATGAGTAACGTATTTTTTGCAATTAAGCCAAGATATCATTTTTCAATACATTTGCAATATTTTTAAAATTAATGAGGGATTAAATTTTAATTCACTATACGAGTATATTTTTCAAAAAGTTTTCGATAAATTATAACCCAAAAGTGGAGATTTTCCGAGTCACCCTGTATAAAGTTAACAGTGTTGTTTTGCATATTAAAGACTTACTGTAAGACATTGGCTTTAGAAATGCGTTCTTGGCATTTTTAATTTGGTCATTAGTTTTACTTTGAATACCTATTTAAGGCGTATATAATTAAAATGGGGAAATACGAGTTCTAAAGTAAAAATAATTTAGACCAATCGGGTAAAATTGAACCAATCAAAAAATTTGACTACTGTCAGATCTATTTAACCTCACTTTCTAGTTTTAAAGTTATTATTATAATTGTACGTTTTATGTTTTATTTAACAAATACATTTGAATTGAAGATAAAATGTTGTATGCAATTTTTTTGAGTTATTATTTTTAGACAAAATGAATTGTTAAAATTATTTTAATATTTATCCAATCCACTGTTTTTTTAACACCACTCATAAACATTGATAAAGTTTTTGTGTATTTTTTAAAATCTCGCAAAAAATAACAAATATTTGTATAATTATAATAAACACACGAAATTCTATGCATTGTTTATTGCTAATCTTTAGTAATTTATAGGTGGTATTAAATTTCATTAGAATAAATATTGTAAATTTCTTTAATACATATATATGTATTAAAGATATTATATACATATGTATATACATATATTGTTCTAAAAATTTTCCTATATTTCCTTAAAAAAAATTATGTCAATACCATGGTACTGTGCACAGTTTATCTTCTTCAATGATTTTTCCATAAAATAGTTCACTTCCTATTATTTATTTTTCAGTTACAATTAACTGTGGAATTTATTGCAATTGACCATGTGATATGATTCTCTTGTTCTAAACTAAGAAGGTCTTTTTTATTTTGCCTTTTTGTCACTTATGCAATTTGACATTTTTTTTTAAATTTATTATTAAAAAACTGTTATGATAAATTATAAATTTTAATTTTACATAGACTCTGTAAATAGGGAAGTGAAAGTGTCAGTAATTCTAAAGAAGATTTAGCAACTTTCACGATTCTTATCAAAATTGACAAATTATTGCATGGATTTATAAATATTACTATTTATTGGAATATGAGTAAAAAGAATTTCCAATCTTTCAAAAAAAAATCCACACTGGATGGATTTTGGATATGTTATTCCTTACATTTTGAGAAATTACTTTAAAAACCTATTTTGTTATTTGTTTCTTCAAATACAAATTTTGAAAATACTTTTTGGAATAATTTTTGTACAAAACAAATTAGGAATTTTTACGTTTTAATATTATAAATAACATTTAAAATTAAATAAAAAATATTAAAATAACAAAAATTAATATGCCAACCCAACCTTTAATAATGAATTTTAATAAAACATTGAAATAATTTAAAATAAAGAACCATTTAAATTAATTAATTAAAACTAGGTATATTGTTTTAATACTGTTTTAAATGCAAATAATAAAACTATTATAATCATATCAAGCAATTGTTTTTATAAAAAAAACATTTTTTATTTATTTTAACATGTAATTAATGCAAATATTTATTTGTTTATAAATAAAATACCATCATTAAAACTTTTGATCTTATTTAAGCCTTTTGCAGTTAAAAATATTTAGGTATAACAAATAACTTACTTGGCCAATCTGTGATCATCATTCTCCAACCTCATGGTGTATAGTTTTTCTTCAACTAATGGCAAAAAATAACTCAAAAAATAACACTCAAACCGAACAGCATATAAAAGCACAAAAATAGTCTTTGAAAAAATCAACAAAAATATTTCAAAATTAAAACTTCCAAACTTGTTGCTTCTTACAAACTCGCCGGTTAACTGACTCTTGGATTCGAGTTGCCTGTGGTTAAGTACCGACGGTCACGTGATTCCGTCGACAGCTGGCGCACAGTGGGTCAATTTGCAAGCTTCGCAAAAATAAGTTTTCTGGTATTATAGCAGTTTTTATAAAATTTGTTCCTTGCAAATTAATCTATTATGTGTCGCAATTTTACTTTTAAATGACCCCACATAAATAAGTCTAGAGGAGTCAAATCTGGAGATCTTTCTGACCAATCCAGAGCTCCTCTTCGTCCAATCCTACTCGATCAAAAACTTGAACAAAATAAATGTTCTAATTTGCATTCTAGGGAAATAAATTCATAAACAATCTTAATATTAATAATAAACATTATCAATATAGTATGTATATAAAATAAAGTTTTTCCACAAGAAGTATAAATTTTAGTCACTGTGAGCTCAGATTGTTGGGCAAATTGATTTGATTAGGTGCTCGCGTGCGGGGCCCACATTTTGTGGTGTACGGTTCTGGTAACACCTTACGATGGTTACCTTGCTTATTGTGGTTGTCTTTGAACGCAGACAATCGGTGGGGAAGCCATGAACCTGGACTTAGATGATAAAAAGGTTGGAAGAAAGAAGAAATGCTTTTTTAGACTGTATTGTTAAGACTAGAGTTGAAATTTACGTAATTGTTTAGATTATATAAAATTGATCAATTTTAAGAAGGTCAAGATTTATTTAAGAACAACAAAGCATAGGTATATTAGAATTTTAAAAACCAATTTAAAAATGTCAAATATTTCTTTACCTACATATCTTTTTTTTATTTAAAATCAATGATTTCCGCATTTAAAAGTCAAGATGTAGTATTTCGTTAAATAATAGTTTTAGTGCTTTTCTAAACACACATTTAAAACAAATATTTACTAGGTACCAAAAACAAATAAACCAACTTGTTTCGGAATTTTTTTTTTAATACAAATAATTCCAAATATTTATAACACCATTATCAAAAGCTAAGTATTTGATATTTACTAAAAGATTAAAAACTACTCAATAAAAATAAACGTACACAGCCAATAAAATATTAATATATTTATTGCCAATTAATAAAAATAAAATAATGGGCGACCTTTAAAAAGTTCAAGTAAATAATGAGGTTATATTTTGGACGCGAAATATACCAGATTTTTTTAAATGCTTGCGAATAGTCTGTTTAGTGACGTCATACATAAAAATGGGGGTCACTTCTTAAGTAATACATTGTTTACTAAAAATTAATTTTATTGTTACATATATTTATAAATTGGCCTAAATTTTAAATGTTTTTATTTACTCCCACATTGACAAGCTTGGACTTTATGGCGTTTTAGTGGAGCTGAAGTTAGCATCAGTGGCTTTAGTCACGGGCTGAAGTTAGCTTTAGTATAAATCGGGGATAAGTGAGGTTAAATCCGTTGACAAGTTGTCAATATATCAAATGTTTAATAAATAAAATTCTTGTTTTGTGTTTGTCGTAGATAAAGTACCTCTAGTTTGCGACTCGTTCTATAAACTTCTCTAACTCAACTAAAACTCGTATGTAATAGTATATTATATATCAAGTGCTTAATTAAATGAGTGTCCAGAAAAGTTTATTATATTTTCCACTATTATTATCTAAAAATTATTTAAATTAAATATTTGTATATAGCGACATCTGGGAGTAGAAAAATAATATTTAAATTATCCCTAGAAAAGCTTGAAATTCATAATAAAATATAAAATTGTTTCTATTTCTTTTTTTCTTAGTTTTGAAAGTATTATTATTATTATTATTATTATTATTATTATAAAACATATGTGTGTGTTTACATACTTATGTAAATAATTAGATGAAGTAAATAATTTATAATAAATTAAAAAATTAATAAAGTAATTAATTTAAAAATTGCATCAGTAGATGAAAATGAATAAAAACCTATTTAAAGTTTTTATTATTTTTTATTATTACTTTTTTATTGACCTTCTATTGTGGTGAATGGTTTTTACAGAAAAGTGTGTTCATAGTGGTGTTTCTCTATTTTCTATGAATGTAGTTATGTTTATAGTAAGTTCTGAGATTTTTTATATTTATTGTGATTAAGATTTCGAATGACGTCATTCAAGTATTACCCAGGTGCATTTTCAACTTGCCATCTAGTACGTAGCGCCAAAAGTACAAATAACAGTTATCTGTAAAACAAATTTTTTAAATTTTACAAACTTCTTTTTTACAATCTAAATTGTGATTTGGACTTTCCTTGCTATGGGAGTTATTATTTAAAAATCCGTTATTTTCTTAAGTTTGGACTTTTACATATATTGTGTTTTGACATTCCTTTGGTAATATGTTTTTAATATAGGTAATTACTAGGGATGGGATATTTAGGTACTAAAAACTGAAAAATAGGTAACTAAAAAGGTACTAAAAAAAAGCATTTTAGGTTAAAAAAAAACAGCATTTAAGGTTAAAAAAAACAGCATTTTAGGTAAAAAAAAAAACATTAAAAGTTTAAGTTTCGTTTACAATTTTGTTTAGCCGCATACCCAAACACAGAACATACCCACAATAAACTATTTCTATGCAATAAACTGTGTTTTACTGAGTGACACTCACTACACAGAAGTTCTATGACAGAACATAAGCTCACTAGTAGTGAGTCACTACAAAGAAGGTAACTGTAAAGAAAGTTACTGTTACAGTCTGTAACCATAAGAAAAAATTCTATATTGTTGAGTTGGATAAAATATTGGCGCAAATTTTAAAAAGAACAAAAAAAATAAAATAAGTAAAAACAGGTAACAAATATATGAAAATAAACTGACAAATTAAAAAATATGTAACAAAAGTATAAAAAGGTAGTTTAAAGCAAACACCTCAAAAAAAGGTAAAAAAGGTGAAAAAAAGTTAAAAAAATAGGTAACAAAAGTATAAAAAAGGTAGTTAAAAGCAAAAACCTCCAAAAAAGGTAAAAAAGGTGAAAACAAGTTAGGTTCATATAAAAGAAAATCTTTTAAAACACATTTTGGCATTATTGGTTTTCAAATAGTTACATCGGTTAAAAAAAGGTAAAATAACTAAAATCCCATCCCTAGTAATTACGTATATCATTTGTAAAACATGTTCTTAAAATAGATTTATTATTTTTTCTACTCCTACTTTTAAAACGCCCATTATCGTACATGTTTCCATGACACTAAGTGACGTTTTAAATACACATTGACAAGTTTTGGCTTTGTGGCGCTTTAGTTACGGGATGAAGTTAGTAATAGGTTTTTAGTCACGGGCTGAAGTTGTCAAATGTCATACAATCGTTAAAATAAAGTGCCTCTCTTGTAAAATAATAGGGAAATGTGAAAATTATTTTATTATCTCAATAAATAAATACAAAAGTATTAAATAGTTTTTTGACGCCAATATTTGAACAAATTATATGAACGAAGTAAACTACATTTACCTGAAAGAGCGTTAAAAATTTAGTGGACGGTGCCCATAAAACATTCTCTTTTCTTTTACTGCGAAAAACTGCTTCTAAATTGATTGTTAGTCTATTTTCAAGGTATAAATTTTTATTTACACAGCAAAATTTGAAATTTTAACGCTGGTAGATTCCCAAGTTAGAAATTCTAACGGGAATTCCAATAAATACAACTGTCAATTTTTGTACCTTTAACCTTTCCAGAGTAAGAATTTTTAAAACTTTTTGATAATATTTTGCAATTATATGTACATATGTACATATGTAGTAATAAATAAATCAAAGGATAAAATATTTTCTTAACATAATCATATTTTAAAGTTATTTTAATATTTTAAAGTATCAATAATTGTTAAGTTTAATTAAAATAATAACGGGCAATGTTAATAGTGAAAATTACGTCAAAAATGTTTATTGAAATAGTTACTTTATTTTCGTATAGGTAGATGGCGCTTTATCCAAATATTTAATTTACATCATTTTTTAGATAATATTAATTATTTATCGTAAAATTTATATTTTCAACTTAGAAATTCTAAGAACTTAATAGAGTGAAAATTGGTTTATTTTTAAAACATAATTATACACTAAATTTTATTTTCCCATTACGCGGTTAAAACTCTCCAGGTGGAACGAGTACGTACATACCTATCTACGTATACGATATTAAATGCATTGTTTATTACATTTTATAAACAAATAGCCAATGCAGAAAAAAGGGTTTTCCAAACTATATGATTTGTTGGTTATTGCGTTATGTTATAATATTCTGGTTTTCAGAAATTGGCAATTCAAAAGCAAATATGCAAAAATAAATAAACTGTTGTCTATTTTACAGAAAATCCCAAAGTGGTTTGAAAAGTACTGGGATTTAACAGAGTTAAAAAATGCGATTTACTTCTTATTATATATGGAAACTATCCATTGGATTGATTTTTTTAAACAAATGCAGATTTTGCCGCGTTCTACACACGTTCAACTCTTTTGTGCTTGCCCTTTGGGTTAATGATAAATAATATTGCTAGCTATAACATAGTGTAAAATAAATAAATAAATATAAATAAAAATATATCATTATTAAATTTTAACACCATATTGTTGCGGTACAAGTTTTATACATTATTACTCTTAATTCTATACAAATTTTAATTTAATTGGATCAATAGCGGCGAAATACACTGGTTCAACCTACAGGTATAGCACAAACAACACGTACTTGATTAGATTTAATACCCTGGGATCTTAGTTATTTAGAATTAAAAGTGGGTATATTTTAAATTAAGTTTTAATTTACTTATTCATAAATTAAATTTACTTAATTATGTTGGAAAATTTTAAACAAGTTTTAAAAATTATTAATTTATTAGTTATAAATTAAATTTATAAAATTTCATTATCAAGTTTGCACAGCATACCTACCTATATAATATGTAAACTTATCCATTGTTTTAACAATGTATATTAAGTAGGTATTTATAGTTTTAAATATTTATTTGTTAAAGTTTAAAGAAATATATACTTTCGCATCAAATTTATTTACAATCGTACGTTTTTATTATATCTTAAATAAATACAAAATTGTGGTGATTTAT